TTTTGATGAATTTTTCAATAGCACATTTGTCAAAGGACTTACTTTTCGTAGCAACTGCTGGCAGATTACCGAAGCTTGCATGTACAATAGTTGCCATGACAATGCACTACTTCTTTTTGGTTTCCTTCACCTGGATGTCAATAATCGCTTTTGAAACGTGGCGGGCGTTTTCCAAAATCCGCATCAAGCCCAGAAATTTAAGCAGAAGGCAAAAGTGTGGTTACGTGCTACGAAGAATAGCATTGGGATGGGTCCCTCCGTTTGTTTTTGTCCTTGTATGCGTAACTCTTGACCAGTCCCACGCGGCTACTTTTCGCTACGGCGAGACTGGGACTGGTAGGGGCTGTTGGATAAATATTCCCACAGCAAATCTATTCTCGTTCATTTTACCAGTAGCTATCACCATTGCGTTCAACATGGTATTCTTTGTCTTGACTGTGATAGCTATACGGAAGACAAACCAGCAGGTGAGAACGGCAACTCACCACGCAGCTAATCGCAAAACTGCCGCGGTGTTTGCCAAGATTTTCATCCTGATGGGTTTTACATGGATTTTTGGCTTCTTACACAGTCTGGTGTCGAAATACTTTAGGTACCCGTTTGTCATATTAACAACTTTCACAGGACTGTATGTAGCAATAGCGTTTGTGTTTACATCAAGAGTAAGGCGACTGTACCGCAGCTTGTTGTGCTCTGACAAAACTTCAACAACATCAAGAACTCCTCCCACAGCAGAAATCAGTAATGAAGATCGTGTGTAAATAGGATTGGTGTGTCATTCACAGTGAAACCAGACCAAATAGATGTTTAAGTTAAAAAATTATAACGAAAGCTTATCGAGAAGCACAGCATTGCGGGTGCAGAAGCGATCACCCAGCAGGTCAGAGAAGGGGACGGATCAGCCCTGTGCTCCGAGTGCCACTGCCAGCCCAGCCCAGCCCAGCCCAGGCCAGCCCAGTCCTCAGTTGCTCTCCAATGGAATCCTGACGGCCGACGAAAAAGAGGCCTCGAAGAAACTTGAAGGAGAACCGTAAAAAAGAAAATGAGAGACAGAAGCTGGACATTTCGGACAGATTGATCGAATGGAAACTAACAGAAATCAACGGCGTCCTCTGACCATGTAAGGCCTTGTGTGCATCAACGCACGAAGAGAACTAACAAATAACAAGAGATTGTAAATGAAGGTCTCTGACTGGTTTCTACGCTTCCCGTTATTATGCTTTTACGAAAGTATTCAATTATTTTTTTTCTAAAAGAATATATGCAAACTTTGATAACAGCCTGCTCAAAAGATGTCCGTCTAAACCCAAAGAAACCTAGGAAGAGAGCCGGAAACAGGAAGCGCTTGGTCAGCGGTGAGTCCATCTTGGTCATGTTGGTCAGCGGTGAACGACCAAGATGGACGCATAGTTTGCAGCTCCGTCCTAGCCTCAACTTTTTCAACGTTTTTTTCGTGCATTGTATACTATTTTCTTTGGTGATTGTCAAATTCTTAATCATCAGTATGCCGAGTAGTATTTACTTATTTTTTTCAAATACCCGCCAAGACTAGCTAATGCTATATGCGGGTTGTGTAAATTTGCTTGTAATGTTCTGTAAAATAATAATAAACAACAAACAACAACGACAACAGCGCGCTGGTTCATGGTTTGATGACGAATAGCTGAGTACACTAGGCCCAAATACCAGAAACACCCTCGCGTGAGGCAATTTAAATATTCACTACATTTTTTCCGAGTATGTCGTTATCGACCTCGCCCACCAATCCCCCCCCCCTCCCCTTAGTGTGTGGAGGGAATTCTTTAAGAAAAACGTCACTATGACAGCATAACAAATCAAGGTTCTGATGACAGTTTAATTGAGAGGTCATCAAAATATTTTGTGTTAGAACAACTCAAATCAAATTACCGTTGACAAGATTTAATTCTATTTTTTTCTGCCGTCTAAATGCAGTTTGAAAGTTTCTCTTTAAGCATTTCGCATTAGTGTTCAAAATTTAACCTATCCATGATTTCGTACAGATCAAACCAGAAATGCAAATAAGCGATCAAACTTTCGTTACACGTTCGAAATTAATTAACCAAATATTTGGAAGCCATTTTGAAACGTGCTCGATTGGTTGAAATCACTGTTTAGAAACGATATAATAATTTCTTTCAGTATGAACTGAAGTTTAGAATTAAAATAAGGGTATATATCGGTAATTTTCCTTCAGTATGAAGTGTAGCTTAGACATAAAATAAGGGTCCTTAAGAGGAAACCAGCTCTGAATAAAATGCTGAATTACATCGCCATATCCTCTTGTGAGTAAACTCCATGGAAGACGCACTGTTCTTGAAATTTTCTGGAACAAAAGTATAACATTCTGGGCATAATTAGATGGTTTAAAGTGTAGCTTCCCTCAGAGTTTTTTCAATCAGAAATCAAGTCATTCTTGAAAGACGCGATCGTCATAGCGATCAAACTATTTTTGATAAACTCCAAACACAACACAGACAGCAAAAAGAGAGTCGTTATGGTAGCTCTCTGATACAAATGTATCATAGAGGAGCTTGCAGCGCAGCCCCATAATTTAACAAAATAGTAGTAGTAACCCATCAAGCCGAAAACATTTGGACTTCTGACCGTACGGGCGTCTGTACAAGGTGCTACTTTTTGCATGCATGGTCAACTTGACCGCGGGCACGGCAACGCCACGGCCTTAGTTTTGTCCAGTGGGCGTTTGAGCGTTCCGTTCTTTTTCTCTTTTTCTGCCTCATTAAAGAACTCTAACCCAAGGGAAAAGGTCGGAAAATTTTCTTCGTTTTGGGACTGGTAGGCCGAGTCTCTGTTTGTATCCATTATTGTCACGAAATATATTATTATTTCCCCGCGCTAACAATGGCCGCTCGCGCGAAAAAAAAAATTTCTGGCGAAGCGATTTGCTCATGCACGATATCAGCGTGCACTATCGGGATTTTGAGCACGCTTACGTATAATGAATTTGATTGCGCGGCTCTGCTAGCTATGTTATAACTTAATCTAACACCAAATTTATGTACCTTATTTACAAGAAAATGTGTATTAGCTTGAAGAATTGACTGTCAGATCTTAGGAGTTAAAGTTCAATCATTAAGCAAAGTTCACATATAACAAGTGTCCTGTGTACTGCTAGGATTGACAAAGGTTACAGCATACTAAGAGGAAATAAGAGCAATAAAAGTCATAGATTTTTAGTTCAGTCATCGTAGGAAGAAAGATCAGAAACATGTCCGAAAACCCATCTGTATTTTTGATGAAAAACGAAACCCAAATGTTAAAAAGCAGAAAATCTGCAAACCGTAAAGACACCAAGACCGAAAAACCAAAATCGATCTATAAGGTAGCCAAGACTGCTAAAACAGTGTTAACACCAATCACATAGGAAATTGGATGATGCACGCAAACCTCAAAACCAGACAATTGTTACCTTTTGCTTTCCTAAATACACTAAAATTTCAGGTGAGTCTTTCTGTGATGTTCACTGTTTTCAGTGTTTAACAGTAGACATTAGGCACATGAGTTGGACTGGAAGGTGTCTGAACTTTTTCTAGTATAACAATTACCAGTTAAATAATTATTCACCAACAATAATTTAATTTGCATTTAATATTTTACTTAATTACTTTCACCAGAGTGTGGTGAGGGTCGCACAACAGAGCGAGGCTCCAAATTAAGTGCGCCCAATATCCCACCCACCCAACCCCAGGGGAGGACATCCATCACACAATAAT